ACCCTGGGACCATGACCTGAGCCGAAGGCAGATGCTTAACGATTGCGCCACCCAGGCACCCCTAAATAAATCTGTTTTTTAAAAAAATGGGTGCCTGGGTGGCTCAGTAGGTTGAGCATCTGACTCTTGATTTCAGCTCAGGTCATGATCTCAGAGTCGTGGGATCGAGCCCTCCATCGAGCTCCGGGCTCCGTGGCTCCGTGGCTCTGTGCTCAGCATGGAGTCGGCTTGTCCCTCTTCCTCTGCTCCTCCCCCAACTCTTTCTCTCTCTCTCTCAAATAAATAAATAAAATCTTTAAAGAAGAAATCTGCATCTAAGTGAACCCGCACAGTTGAAACCCGTGTGGTTCAAGGGTCAATGGTGCTTGAATTTGTTTGTTTTCAAGCATTAGATGTCTTACTTTTATGATCAGAAAAGAAACATTATTTTAAGAATTCTGTTGTAAAAATGTTTGTTGATGTGGGAGATGTTCACATTCATAAGACACTGTTGAAATAAAAATCCACATTATGCAAACAGTAAGTGCAGAATGACCCCATCTACTAAATAAACATGCACGGGCGAAATCCAGAACAGGTATCCAACATCAACCAACAGTGGCTATCTCTGTGTGGTGGGATTATGGATGTATTTTTTTTTTCTTTCTATCTGTAATTACAGTTTTTCTAAGGTCAAAATTTGTGTGACTTTTATAATAGAAGCAGCTATTGGAAAACAATCCCCCCTCCCCCGGCAGCAGAGTGTTACTGGGCAGAAGGGCTAAAGAGTCAGCATGAGCAGAGGCCCAGGGGCAGAACAGGGTCCCTGGGTGGGGGATGGCCATGGGGGATGGACTGGTCAGGTGGGGCCGGAATACAGGGTCCTGAATGCCAGGTCCCAGAGTCTGGGAGGGATGCTGTGGGTAAGCGGGGGGTGTGCAGTAGAGAGCCAGGCAGAAAAGGGTGAGAACAAGGATGGCCCCTGAGGGACCAGGTTGGTGAGGCTGGGACACAGGGTGCATAGGAAAAGGAGGGGCTGGGCCTGAGCATGCAGGGCTGTCGTGGGTAGGGGGCTCACCGTCACCTCCTGGTAGGATTCCATGCCATTCAGCACCACCTGGATGACCTGTCGGCGTAGCTTGACGCTCTGCTCTGAGCGGTACTCAGAATTGGTCAGGTAGAAGAGGGCAGCGCTGCCCGTGACTTGAATGTTCTTGTCATACTTGTGGCACTTGAGGGCCGTGATGACCAGCTGTAGGAAGACAGGATAGGCCTGGGTTGGCAAGTTCCGTTCAAGCTGTGCAAAGCCAGGCCTAGGGCTCTGCCAGGGAGCTGGGATAGGTCCTCTGGGCTACAGCTTATCCCAATCCTGTTCTCTGAGAGCAGAAGTGAGGATTGGGGACAGAAACTAGGATGGGGACAGAAACTAGGATAGGGCCACAGGTCTGGGATAAGGCCAGTGCTGGGACAAGTTAGGCCTGGGGTTCGGGGGTAGGACTGCTGGTGTCCTGGGGATGAGGAGGAGGTGCAGAGGAGGGACGGGGGCTCTGGCTTAATCAAATCCAGCACCTGCCAGCTGGGGATGGGCAGGAGACCAAGGACCCCCGGGGTTGAGGCTGACCTTCAAGGCCCGAAGAAGTTGGTTGCAGCGCTCGATGCGTGCGATGTCAAAAAGCAGGTTGATGGCTCGGGAGGTGATCTCAGGCCTATGCTCTGTGTAGGCCTCTATGGCATTCAGCACCTGCTCCTCATTTTTGTCACCACTTACCTGGGAATGAAACATGCTCAGAACCACCCGGAAGAGGCCAAGTGGTAGGATCCCTAGATCCCAGCTCCATCTCTAGCCCCACGGCAGACACCGTGGGGCCCCCAGCCCACCCCCTTCCCTTGTCCCAGGGCTCCGTATTCTTCCCCTCCCCGACTCCCTCTCTCACTTTGTAGGCGGGAATGTGTGTCAGGCGGCACAGGGAGGTCTCGAAGAGCCCAAGGAACTGCAGTGGCCTCTTCAGGGCCCGGAAAGGCATGATGCTGCTCTTGGAAGGCTCAATGCTGGGGGAAGAGGATGTCGGGTCAGTGGCCTATGGACTGGGGCTGCCCTGGGTTCATTCAGGAGGGCTTCTCCCTGAGGGTGGCTAGGCATTTACTTGGGGCCCTCTTCTAGGCCTTCCTGCCTCATCTTTTGGGACATAGGCCCCCCACCTCTTGACGGAAAGGTGGCAAGGTCAAACTATATAACATGTGGGGTGGGAGATACTGTGCAACCATCTTTAGAAAATACTATGTGCCCTTCTAGTGAGGACTTGTCCACTTTATGTAAAGTTCTACCAACAATCATGAAGGACATGCTCATCAACCAAACCCCACGAATGTATGGCTGGTAATAGGGCTTAGAGCCAATTATAGCTGGATGGGTTTGAATCGGATGTCTCAACCAACCAAGCCAGGAAGCAACCTATCTGCTGTGATACCTAATGCATGGTGGACACTGCTGGCCCATCCTACTACCACCACCCGTCTCTAGCCAGGCTGAGTGTCCTAATTTCCTGGTCACTCCTCAAGCTTGCACCTTCCAGTCTTTGTGTATGCTGTTCCCTCTGCTGGAACACCTTTCCTCTGGCAAACTCAGAAGGAGCTTTCAGGACAGCTTGGATGCCATTCTTCCTTCCTCTTTCCTGATCCTCAGGGCAGCCCCACAGCCCTGTGCCTCCCCTACCACAGTCCTACTGATGACTCCTCTGTCCCCATTAGCTCGTACAGACTCAAGAGGGCAGGGCCTGCTTCGTTTCTTTATCGCTAGCACCCAGCACAGGACTTGGCTCGGTAAATGCTTTTGAGTGACACCCTGCTGGCAACCATGGCGGGGGGGTCCCCACCTAGTCTGCCCTGCCTCCTCGTCCATCTTGGAGATGCTGCAGTTCTCCAGGATCATGTGGCCAGAGATGTCCAGGGACATCAGGTTCCCCAGCTTTTGCACAAAGAGGCTCAGCACCTTGCGAGTCAGCTTGAACTTGTAGTAGCTGGAGAGGCGGTCTCGGGAGATGTCCAGGTGTCTGGAGATTGGAGTGGGGGCCAAAGGTCAGGAGCTGGACACGGGTTGGGGCTTCCTCGGAGACCCCTGCTCTTTCAGCCCATGGCAGGCGAGGGCCCATCCCTGCCACAACAGCCCCAGGGCATTCTGGGGAAGAGCCTGCTGGCACCCCAAGGCCCTGAACAGCCAGGATGCAGCCACAACACTGGGCTCAAGGAAGGGGACTGTCTCTTCCAAACCCACTTCTGCCTGGCCAGGGGCTCACAAACCTCCTGGGACTGCCACCCTCCACCCCCCACCCTTACCCCAGTGAGCTCCGGGCCAGCAGCTCACCGCAGCTTGTGCAGCTGGACGATGACCCGGATGTGATCGTCTGAAAGGTCCATGTTGTAGAGCACAAGGGACACCAGGCTGTCTTTCCACTGGGTTAGGAAGGCTGCATCGCTCGTCTGGATGCCTGAGAGGTCCAAGGCAGCCAGGGAGTTGAGTGGCCGGAGCAGGGATTCCACAGGGACCCCGTCGATCATGCGACCCAAGTTGAGGAAGCGTAGGCGGCTAAAGCCCTCAAAGGTGAAGTCCTTGACCAGCACCTGGCAGGTGGGGTTGACGAGGCACTCGTCTTCACAGCCCCCTGGGTTCTCCTCCTCGTAGAAAATGTTTGCACAGCCGAAGAGGCTCAAGGACACCAGGGTGTGGCTAAAGCTCCTCAGCGTCTGCAGACTCTTGGCGGACAGCTTCTCGCAGTTGGTCAGGTACAGCTCCACCAGGTCCTGGTAGCAGGCACAGCTCCGTCATCACCACAGCCCACCAACCCCCGCCTCCGGTGACCCCCAGGCCTGACCCCAGACCACAGGCAGGCTTGGGGAGGGGCGGGCATAAGGAGGGGGCGCGCCAGATTCTTGTGCTGGAGGTGAGCGGCCCGGCCCTTGACTCACTGACCCTCTCTGGCCGGCCTCCCCATGGCCAACCCCCTGGCTGGTGATGCAGGTCTCACCTGCTTGCGGATGGCCTCCAGGTCCTGGTCCTGCACCAGGTCCTCGCGGAGGTGGATCCGGGTGAGGCGGGTGCTGCGGGGGTCTGAGAAAAGGCTGAAGAAGCTCTCGTGTGGCTCAAAGTTGCAGGCGGCGTTGACCAGCTCCACATACCTGGGAGGGAGGAAAGCCTGGCTAGTGGGAGGGGTCCGGGGACCCTTGTCCTCCCTAAAGGCTCAGCTCCAGGCATCCTGTCCCTGGAACCTTCCCTCACCACCCATCAGCAGCTTCCATCTCCTCTGTCCCCTGCCCCTCTTTCTAAGAGCACCTGCTTGGATCCTGACCCCCTTGCAGGTAAGATGAAGGGTGGCCCCAGGCACCAGGAGGGCAAAGGTGATGAAGGGGCCTGTAATCAATAGCAAATCCCAAACTCTTCCTCCCAGAGCCGTACACATCTATAACAAACACACACGTCCACATTCCTCATTTTAAGCCAGCTTCTGTTCCTTGACCGGCCCAGCTTCTGTTCCTTGACTGGCCCCTCCCAGGACCCTTTCCAACACGAAGATTAAGCCAAGGGGTTTAACATTCCCAGCTGGGTGCAGGGCCAAAGCACTCAATAAAACCCTGTTTGAGATGACACTTGATACAAGAATCTTGGTCTGATGGAAAAGGCTTGGGAGTCAAACACTCTGGACTCTAAATCCTAGCTTGGCTGTTCACTACTTGGGCAACTTGACACGAGTAATGGAACTTCCCCAGACTTTAGTTTCTTCATCTGTAAAATGGACATAACTCTGGTCTGCAAAGCGTCCAAGCGAGTACCTGACCCACATTAAATGCTCAGAATATGATTACAAGTCGGGCTCTGTCCTCTGGTCACACACAAGTTCCCACTCTTTCTCCTTTCTTTTATTCAGATTTTATTTTATTTATTTATGTTTTTAAGATTTATTTGAGACAGAGAGAGAGCAAGCAGGGGAGGGGTAGAGGGATAGGGAGAGAGAGAATCAGACTCCCTGGTGAGTGTGGAGTCCAATGTGGGGCTCGAGCTCATGGCCCTGAGACCATGACCTGAGCCAAAATCAAGAGTCAGCCACTCAACCGACTGAGCCACCCAGGCGCTCCCTATTTTATTTTAGTCTTTAAAGATTTTTGATTTCGGCTCAGGTCATGATCTCAGGGTCTTGGGATGGAGCCCTGTATTTGGCTCAGTGGGGAGTCTGCTTGGGATTCTCTCTCTCCCTCTCCCTCCTGCCTCTCCCACTTGTGCTCTCTCAAATAAAGAAATACATTTTTAAAAAAAGATTTTGGGGCACCTGGGTGGCTCAGTCCATTAAGTGTCTGCCTTTGGCTCAGGTCATGATCCCAGGGTTCTGGGATCAAGCCCCACATCGGGCTCCCTGCTCGGCTGGGAGCCTGCTTTTCCCGCTCCCTCTGCCCCTCCTGCCCTCCTGCCCCTCTATTTCTCAAATAAGTAAATATTAAAAAAAAATTTTT